CTTTCGCCCCTGGTCCAAACTCCCCAGCAGATAAGCCCACGCCCCCTAACGAGGGAGATGGGAGGAAAGGTGGCTGTGTGGATACGCGGGACTGTCTTCCTTCTTCCTTCTCATCAAGGTCATTGCCTCCCCGGGTGTGGCTGTGGAGAGTCACCTGCCTGTCCCAGGTCAAAGCCGTCCTTGAGCCAGGACCCCGTGCGGTTCCCAGCCCCGCGCCCCCTCCCTTGCTGCTAGTAGTAACCACCCCTCTTTCCCCTGACCTAGGGCTTGGTCATCGAGCGCCTGGGGCGGAGGCCCCTCCTCATCGGCGGCTTCGGGCTGATGACCATCTTCTTTGGGATCCTCACGGTCACACTGACGCTGCAGGTGAGAGCACGTGCCTGTCTCCCCGCTCCCCCCTCAGGAGCTCGGCGTGGAGCTGGCTCTCGGCTTCGGTGCCCAGGGCCTTGGGCTTAGGCAGGTGGCACTGTCTGCAGACACGCCCCCCCCAAGGGGCATCTCAGCCCGGAAGCCACTGGGGAGGCTTGAGGGGTGAGGCCTGAGCCTGGGAGACCAGCGACCTAATGAGCTGTGTGACCTTGGGGGTGTACATCCCCTCTCTAGGGGCTCTGGGGCCAGCCCACCTGGGTGTGAATCCCCGCTGTCCCACTTCCTCGCACAAAACTTTCGGCAACTCAACCTCTCTGCTCCTTGTGTCTGTAAAGTAGGCGCTGGAATGGCGTGGGGGTTAGCATTACCCCCATTTTCTGGATGCTGAAACGGGGCCCATAGATATAAAGTGACCTTTACAAGGTCGAAGACGTCCTTTAACCATGACCCTGTGCCGGTCCCCAGCCCCACAGCCCCCTTCCCTTGCTAGTAAGGCCTGAGGTCACACAGATGGATGGAGGAGGGGCTGGGGTGGGAACCCAGGTCCTCGATATGCCTGCCTCCTCACCTGCCCGCTGCTGCTACCTCGCAGGACCACGCCCCCTGGATCCCTTACCTGAGCATCGTCTGCATCCTGGCCATCATTGCATCCTTCTGCAGCGGCCCAGGTAGGGCGCCCCCCTTCTGCGCCAGCTGGCCCAGGGCTCGCGGCATCACCACGGAAGTCAGGGGCTCAGGGAGGGGCAGGGCCTGATTGGGGATGGAGGGGAAAGAGAGTTCCCAGCCATTCAAGTTCAGTGACGGCCTTCATTTCCACCCCACAGAGGGTGGGCAATGTGCCGCCCAAAGACACATTAGTTATAACATACAACAACTCGCGGCTGTGAGGGCGTGAGGCAGGCACACGCGTTTGGGATGAATTAATGATACTCAAGGTGCGGTCTGTGGCCACCCACAGACGAGTTACAGTTCCGTGCGGAAGATATGATGATGATGATAACAATGGCCATGGCTAAGATTTATTGATCACTGACCACATGCTATACTTAGCTCATGTAAGGCCCGTGGCAGCTCAAGAGACGGTGAGGATGGAGGGGACTTGCCGGGCACCAACAGGATGGCGATGCCGGACTCCAGCCCCTAATCACCACCTTACAGTGCCTGCAAGAGTGGAGTCTGGTGTGTGCACCCAGGACTCATGTCCAGCCCCAGCTTGGGCATTGCCCTCGTGGGAAAGTCCTCGCCTCTCCTTGAGCCTCAGTTTCCCCATCTGTAAAATGGCCCGTGTGGATGAGACTGAGGGCCTTGCCCTGCCGTGGCTCTGTGTCCGTGTCCCCGGTAAACTGAGAAGGGGTTCAGGGTGGTGTGGCCCTGCACTGCTCTCTGGGGGCGTCCCTGGTGTCTGTGGGCAGGCTCTGGGGGACTCTCTCTGGAGGCTGCTGTAGCTCCCTCACTCCGATCTCTGTCCCTGCTTTCAAATTACCGCTCCTCTACATGCCCGTCCCAAAGTCCCTCTGCCTCTTTTTTCTTCTTTTTTTATTTCAGGGAGGAAGGAAGAGGGAGAGAGAGAGAAACATCAGTAATAAGAGAGAATCACTGATCGGCTGCCTCCTGCACGCCCCACATTACGGGCTGAGCCCGCAACCACGTCCGGGCCTACTTGACTCTTCTTAAGAACCTGTCAGAATGGATCAGGGCCATCGTATGACCTCCTTTTACCTTAATCACCTCTTTAAAGACCCGTCTCTACACACAGTTACATTTTGGAGTGCTGAGGGTGGGACTTCAACATGTGGATTTGGTAGTGGGGGTCGGGGGGAGGGCGGGCCACACAATTCAGCCCATCACGGTGATCACAAGTAAAGGCCCTGGACTGAAAAGCCTCGGCTCTCACAGGGACAGGACCGAAAAGCCCCTGTAAGTGAGCTCCTACTCTGTGCCCAGCTGTGACCCAGATATTGGGAGAAGCTGCTAGAACAGCCCCCGCGGAGCTTACACTGCCAGATAGGGAGCCAGGCACGGCCAAGAAATATATAAATATAAAGCCAGGGCAACGGCAGTCCCATGGGGAGGAGGGGACCGACATAAGGCGATGAAGAGGGACAGGGTGAACAGTAGGGGGCGCCTTTTAACCGAGGCTGTAGGGTAAGGCCCCCCAGCACCTGTGCCACCTGAGCAAACTCCTACCAAAGTCAGGGCCTGAGTCCTGGCTCTGCCCCTCAGAGCTGGGGAACCTTGGGTAAGTGAGGGCACTTCTCTAGGCTGCAGTCTCCCCACCCCCCAGCTCCCCCGACCCAAGTACATGGTAGCCAATAGTCCCAGAGATGAAATGATAAGCATTCCTATACAACGTATTCCGTAAATGTCAGTCGCCGCATCATCCAATTGGCACACGGAGTCCTCCACCACGGCAGGCCCAGCTGGCTTCAGAGGCCATTCAGAAAAAAAAAAGGGAGGGGGCTACCGTTTGTTCAGATGAGCCAGGTCAGAGATGGTGTTCATGCCTTTCGGAGCTCTGGGCTGTAACCCAGCACCCACCCCGAGGCCACTGCTCACACAGGCAGAGGGGCTCTCCCACTGCCTGCGCTGCCACAGGAGATGGAGGCTGGCGGCATGGCCTCCTCCTCTGGGTGACTAATTCCGCGCCCCGGCTCTCCCTGCAGGCGGCATCCCCTTTGTCCTGACCGGCGAGTTCTTCCAGCAGTCCCAGCGGCCGGCAGCCTTCATCATAGCTGGCACCGTCAACTGGCTCTCCAACTTCGCCGTGGGCCTCCTCTTCCCCTTCATCCAGGTCTGGCTGGCAGGGGCCTCTTGCCCAGGGGTACCCTCTGATTCGGTAGCCCTCAGAGTGAGGGCCGATTCACAGAGCAGAGGCTGGCCTACCCACTGGAGACTCGCGCTATTGGCCTAAGGAAGGGAGAAGTGTGCCTCGGCCCAAACCTTTAACCCTTCTCCCTCCTGCACCTTCCAGGAGCGACCCCTAAATGCTAAGGGCTGCTTCAGAGAGAGTGAGCCTCCTGTCGTGGAGGGTATGCAAGCAAACCTGGGTAGAATCTCAAACCTGCAACCTGCCCATCGTTTTTGCTGTGTCTGTCACTGTGTGATCCCTATATAATCATGCAGCGAGTAACAGCATGTTGCAAGGGGGATCACCTTCATTCCCACGGGCTCACTTTCAGCAGGGCGGGCGCCCACTAGGCTGGAGCTCCAGGAGCCACACAAGAAACATGGATGGCGGGGAGGGGGAGTTCGGAAGAGGCGGGGAGGAATTCCAGCCAGAGGCCCTCTGCGGGGACCCCCTGGGTCAGTGTAGCGCATCCATGAAAAGCTGCTGGGCTCTGAGAAACAGGGGCTGTGACAAGGAGGCACTGAGGATGTGGAGGCTCTCAGTGTAGGACAGGGAACCCCAATAAAATGCATGGGTCCCCTTCCTGCTTCTCCCAGGTGGTCACCAAGCCCTCCCGGAGAATCCCCTGGAAACAGGTCTCAGGGTGCCTAGAGGAGAGGCACGTCCGGGGGGCCCAGCCCCCAACAGCTGGAACCCTGAGAGTCTTTTACTTGACAAACATTTATTGAGCAGCTACATGTACCAGGCTCTGCGGGCACAGGAGCTGCCGAGGTGACGGGTGCAGCTGGTCTAGTGCAGCCGGAGGGGCCGTTCTCGTCTGAGCATTCGCCACCATAACCAGGATACGTGAGCTAGAGGGACCGCACTCCACATTCCTCTCTTCCTTGTGCAAGGCTGCCTCAGAGTAACCGCCAGTGAGCTGTATCGTTTGCATAGTAGAAAAAGTGATGTTATCTGGGCCTAGTAGCGTTCCCTATTTTTCTTGTGAATTGAGGAATTTCACTTCCTTTTGACATCACACTTTTCTCACGTGTGTATTGGAGGGAAGGAAGAATGTGGTTCATGGAAAATATGAACTTAAGATGACGTTAGCTAGCCCAGCCAGTGTGGCTCAGTGGTTCAGCATTGACCTATGAACAGGAAGTCAAGTTCTATTCCAGTTTTTAAAACACACTTTTTAAAAAGGATAACCTTAGATAGCAATTGGCTGTCACGATGATTAAGTTTTATATGCCCACTTTTCTTTTTAATTTTTTATTGATTTCAGCAAGGAAGAGAGAGATAGAAACAACAATGATGAGAGAGAATCACTGACCGGCTGCCTCCTGCACACCCCACACTGGGGATTGAGCCCACAACCCCGGCCTGTGCTCTGACCAGGAATCAAAATGTGACCTCCTGTTCACAGGTCAACACTCAACCACTGAGCCACACCGGTCGGGCTATATGCCCACTTTTCTTAAAAAAAAAAAAAAAAGTAATAAATAAAGACTGCCACTTCCTCATCTTCCCTGGGGTTTGAAGCTGATTGATTCATGCCTCATGGGAGACATCTCCTGTGCACGATTATAAGGCACATTTGCGTGCGAAGCTGCACCTGGGAATGTTGACTAATGAATGGGGACCATCAAGAACAGTCCAACCCTCACTGGTTTGGCTCAGTGAATAGAGCATCAGCCTGCAGACTGAACGGTCCAGGGTTCGACTCTGGTCAAGGGCACATACATGCCCAGGTTGCGGGCTTGATCCCCAGTGTGGGGCATGCAGGAGGCAACCGATCAACAATTCTCTGCCATTGATGTTTCTATCTCTCGCTCCCTTCCTCTCTGAATTTTTTTTTTTTAACAAAGAACATTCTGCTCAATGTGGCTTCGTGGCCATGGGATGCTTGTCTGGTTGACGCTTTTGTCTCCACCTTTCCACAGAAAAGCCTGGGCACCTACTGCTTCCTGGTCTTTGCCGCCATCTGCTCCGCGGGTGCTCTCTACTTGTATTTCGTCCTCCCTGAGACCAAAAACCGAACCCACACCGAAATCAGCCAGGCATTTGCCAAAAGGAACAAGGCCTTCCCACCAGCGGAGAAGACAGACTCAGCCGTCACTGACGACAAGGCCACGAACAGGCCAAAAGCAGAGGCCTCTTCCACGCTGGACAATTACATCAAAAGTGGGATTATCTAAACCCCGGGGGCAGGGGGACATTTTTTCCTGCCAAGAGCCATTGGATACTTGTGACATCATCCTCAGGCCATACAAAATCATCCACGCAAAAAACAGCCTGTTCTATTTGGCCGAATCTTTCATTAACTCACCCTAATGCCTTGGCAGGGCCAGACCACATGGTTCCTAGGGTTTTAACAGCCTCCGGGCCAGACGGTCCCCACCCCGGTCATCAAGAGTGGTCTCACCATTTCAGAAAACCGAAGATCCCCCTACACGTTGAATATTACTATTTAAAAATGAGACTTTGCTCACTTAATACTGCAACCATTTGGGTGTCGTGCATGGCCGAGTCCCCCAAACTCTTCTGGAAGCTGGAAACAGCCACCCCTTGTGTTAGCAGACCCAACATTCTCCTCGATGGGTCCACGCCTGCCTTCTTCATGTCTGAGCCCATGGATCCAAGGTGAAATCGGGGAGGGAGCCCCCCAATGGTTTCTGGAAGGAACGTAGTCCCTGCTCCATCTGCCATAGCCATGAGCTGCCCCCAGTCACATCCTGAGTCCCCAGTGCACCTGGGCTTGGATCCTGGGCGCAGATGTCCAGAACTCGGGTGAAGGACCCTTCAGACCGCCTGGCAAATGCCTGGCTCCCATCTCTGGCTCTGCCCTGTGGGTCTCCGGCTCAGGGGAGCCTGGTGCCAACCCCCCTCCCCCTGCTCTGCCTTTCCTGGCTCTGTCCCACGGAGCTCAAGGCCTCCAGCCCGGAAGCACCGTCACCTCCACGGACCAGACAGGTCCCAGAGAACAGAGAGAGGACCCAGATGTGGGAGACCCAGAGGCCGATGCAAGAAGCAGCGTTACAGGAGGTGGGGCAGGCCCTGCAAAGCGAACGCTTTTCCGTCGGAGCCGCCAAACAAGGTTAAGGATGACTCTGAGGCTGACACAAGCGTGGAGGGAAGGACGGGGGATTGCCTGGTGCTGCCTGCCCCGCAGGGCTTCGTGGCCGCAGATCCCGGAAGAGATTTCGCTGAAAGACAGCATGTCAGTCAGGGCTCCCCAGAGGCACAGAAGTATACACACAGGCGCACCCCGGAGAGTCTGCAGGCTCGGCTCCAGGCCATCACAGGAAAGCAAGTCTCACAATGAATGAGTCACACAAATATGTGGTTTCCTGGTGCATCTAAACGTTGTTTTTACACTCTGTTGTAGTCTATCTTGTGTGCAATTGCATTATGTCTGAAGTATGTACATACTTTAATTAAAAGCTATTTATTGGGAAGAAAAAAAAATGCGAACCGTTTTCTGAGCCTTCAGCAAGTCGCAGTCTTTTTGTTGTTGTTGTTGTTGGTGGTGGTGGTGGTGGTTATTACAGATGCCAGTCGGTCTTTTTGCTGGTGGAGGGTCTTGCCTCAGGGCTGAGGGCGGTGATTGATGGGGGGCGTGGCTGAAGGCTGGGGAGGCAAGAAGGGTGGGGAGGCAATTTCTTCCGACAGCAGTGAAGCCTGCCACACCGATGGACCCTTCCTTTCACGCACGATTTCTCTGAAGCGTGCGATGCTGTGGTAGCGTCTTATCCACAGTAGAACTTCTTTCAAAATGGGATTCAGTCCCCCCACCCTGCCACTGTTTTATCAACAAAGTTTGTTAAATGTTATAAATCTTCAGCTGTCATTTCAGTGATCCTCACGGCATCTCCACCAGGAGAAATGGTGCCGGTAGACATGCTGATGGGAGGTTGCCCGCAAACCTTTTGTTTGCAAAAACAAAACCCACAATCTTTCTGAAGCACAATAAGACCAGGTAGCCTGTGTCTGACTCCAACACTGCCCAGCCCAGACTAGCCATGGCTCATCTTGGCTGCTTCTCCACACGACGTCTCGAAGAGCTTTTCTCTTCCTCTTTTCCTCGGAATCCCAAGAATGCTGACTTTAAAAAACAAACATTTTTACTGATTTCAGAGAGAGGAAGGGAGAGGGAGAGAGTGAAAGAATCAATAATGAGAGAGAATCATGGATCGACTGCCTCCTTCACGCCCCCTACTGGGGATCGAGCCTGCAACCCGGTCCTGTGCCCTTGACAGGGAACCAAACTATGACCTCCTGGCTCATCAGTCAACATTCAACCACTGAGTCACGTCGGCCGGGCTTTAGCCTCTTTCTGGAACATACGAGGCATCAGAAAAATTGCCTTTATTGGAGGGAGGGGCCGATGAAAAAATGTGGATGCAGTGACAGGCACACTGGCCACCCACCTTAGACCAGGAAGTTGAAGGGCACCCCCTACGGGTGCGGGGAAGGGAGCAGTGAGGATCCAGGGCCTGGACTTCCTGGAGCAGAGGGGCCATGACCGCCCCGACCTGCCTAGCAGCAGCCTTTGCTTATGGGAGTCAAAGCCTCTCTTATTTGGGGTTTCTCGTACTCATGACCAAACCTGAACTCGATTCATAAAGTTCTCACAGGAGGGAGCCCACAAATGAGGATGTATCAAGCCGATCCAGTGGTCTAGACACCGGGCAAGCTGCTTCCGTGGGGCCCGGTACGTCCAGCGAAGCGGCAGGGACTCTTGTTCTGGATGGTCTGGGTGCAGCTGCAGTGCCTCGGAGCTGTCTGGGGTGCTGACCTGGGTTTTCTGCCTGACAACACTAACTTCCCTTCTTTTCAAGTTTGAAAAATACCTCCACGGTATGGCCTATGAGGCTAGAGAAAACCCGTGAAGTAACCATTACTGGATTCCTTTCGTTTGATCTAGACCCTGTGCTCCCCCCGCTGAGTCCAGCCACGTTTACTGTTCCCATCACTGCTCTGCAGCACCTCAGACATTTGGCCCAGCCCCCTGTCTCCAGAACAACCCCTCTGATCTGCATCTCCACCCGTGAACCCCACCGGACATGGGTCCCTTCCACGTGACAGCCCGCCACCCGCGACCTGGGGTGGACCGAAACGTCACAGCCCTGGGGTCAGCCTCCATCGCATGGAACCCATGCAACGTGCTTCGGCCGCTGAGACGTCGGAAAATGTGACACAAGCGGAAGTTGATGGGGGCTTGTGCTCTAGGGCTTTCTTAGATGCTGACGGCATCGTGTGCAGAAGCCCAGGCCAGCCTCCTTGGGAATGAAAGACCCCACAGAGAGGCTGAGCCCACCCCAGGGGGCCTCCACCTGGATGCAGCTGTGTGGGTGAGTCCACAAGAAAGCCGCAGAAGGCTCACCCAACCAACCACAGAGTCACAAGAAAGAAGAAACTGTTGCTTTAGCCCAGCCGGCGTGGCTCCGTGGTTGAACATCAGCTTATGAACCAGGAGGTCAGAGTTCGATGACCGGTCAGGGCACATGCGAAGGTGGTGAGCTCGACTCCCAGTGTGGGGTGTGAAGAAGCAGCTGATCAATGATTCTCTCTCATCATTGATGTTTCTTTCTTTTCCTTTCCCTTCCTCTCTGAAATCAATAAAAATATTTTTTTAAAGGGGCGGCATTTTCCTGCCCACAGTTCTGTGGGTGAGCAAATAGGGCATTTCTCTGGGTGCACGCAGTGTCTTCTGGATCCCCCCTGGCACTTGTGGTCAGGTGGTATCAGCTGGAGGCCGGTGGCCTTGGGTGGCCCCATTCACAGGTCAGGGGCCCCGACGGGGATGGCTAGCACAGCAGGGCTGGCGGGCCCGCTCTGTGTGGTCTCTGCATGAAGGGTTTCAGTGTCAGGGAGGGCCCCCTGGCCATCACAGAGCAGCGGCGTTCTAAGAGGGTGAGAACAGAACCTGCAAAGTCACTAGACCAGTGGTTCTCAACCTTCTGGCCCTTTAAATACAGTTCCTCATGTTGTGACCCAACCATAAAATTATTTTCGTTGCTACTTCATCACTGTCATGTTGCTACTGTGATGAATCGTCATGTAAATATCTGATATGCAGGATGGTCTTAGGCGATCCCTGTGAAAGGGTCGTTCGACCGCCAAAGGGGTCTTGACCCACAGGTTGAGAACCGCTGCACTAGAGGCTGAAGATGGGAACTCACACAGCACTCCTCCCCTGACCAAAGCAAGTCTAGGACCAGCCCCGATTCAGGGGGAAGGGAAATAGATTTCACCTCCTGCTGGGACGCATCTAAAGTCACGTGGCCAGCTTGGGGTGACTGTGGCCGGCCCTGCAGACAGCCCACCACCTGCAAAGTGCAGACATCAACTTCACAGAGAAGTCGCAGAGAGGCCCAGCTGCTCATATGCTCCACCCAGAAGTGGTAGCCGGGGCCCAGGGCATTGATTGACAACCCTTCCAGAGCCCTCTGGAACCAGGAGGGAGTCCGGAGCGAACCGGGGAGGATGCGACCCACCGACCCACCCACCCACCACCCACCGTGTGTTCAGATAACAAAACTGAAGCTGGCCGCATCCGAGGCAGGCCCTGTGCATGGGAAAGGGATGACGAGTCAGACTCCTTTGCCTTCAGCACTTGCCAATGCACATCCATTCATTAAGTCTGATTACTGCAGCCAGAGCGTCATGGGAGGGGGAGAGATTGACAACCCGGGGGAGGGAGAGGGGCTTTACCTAAAGATTCCCGCCCTGATTTGGTTATAAATAGCCCACCAAGGAAATCAGGCTCCTGGGCAGGCCCTGATTGTGGTGGGTGTTGGGATGCGGGCATCGGACATCGTGGCCGCCTGTGAGGGCACAGACGCTCTCGACTGATTGGGAGACTGATTGGGAAGCTGCGGCTTCTGACCTCTGGGCTGGCTGCGGGGTGTAAGTGGGGGATCTGCACTAACGCAGCAGGTAGGACACAGCGAACACCAAGGGCACTTCTCAGAAGGGAAAAGACGGCCAAGGCCACGGTGTCCTGAGGTGCCCCAGAGCTGCCTTACTCCCTGCCCTGCAGCCTGGGGACACTGGTGCTCAGGTGCACAGGGGATAGGGACCAACCTAAATCTCAGCTGCCCACCCTCCTGTGGACTCAGCAGCCGCTACGACCCCGCCATTCCTTCTTTCCTTCCACACACTTCTGTTCAGCCCCAGCTCAGGGCCTGCCTCCTTCACACACTATTTCTGTGAGCGTTTGGAGTGTTTGGAATACTGCTTCCTGTGGAATAGTGGGAGACGGGCAAGGTTACCTTGAAAGAGCTGGGTGTGTCTCCCACCGGGGCGCTCATCACAGCGTCTGCCCGGATCCCAGGAGATAAGGCAGAGTGGGCGCTCCAGCCCAAGTGCATGTCTACATAACTAAAAGAACTGTGAGGGGAGCCCTGGCCTGTGTTGCTCAGTGGTGAGAGCATCCGCCTGCAGACAGAAGGGTCACGGGTTTGATTCCAAGTCCAGGGCACATACCTGGGTTGCAGGTTCAATTCCCTGGGCCCAGCTGGAGAGGAAACCAATCGACGTGTCTCTCTCCAGCTGATGTTTCTCTCTCTTCTCCTTCTTCCTTTCCTTCCACTCTCTAGAAATCAGTGGGAAAAAATGTCCTCAGGTGAGGATTTAAAAAAAGAAAGGAAAGGTGAGGGACAGGAAAGCTGGCGTATATAGATTGTTTAGTTGCCGTCTCCTCTGGCTACGAATACTTTGCGATGGCAGGAGGCAGCGGTGAGGGAGGCGTGAGGGAAGAGGCACGCAGTGCAGGTGAGAGCTGGTGGGAATCCGACTCCCTGACCTGGGTGTCAGGGCACGGAGCCTCTCCCCACAGACCTGTGCGAGTTAAAGGAGCCAGCCAGCCGGGCAGCACGCCTCTGAGTGATGTATTGCGACTTCTCTCTGGGGTCTCGTATTTGTTACGGTTGCTTTATGGCACCCAACTGCTCTGGCAAAGGAAGCTTGGGAGGAGGGCTACAAGGACAGAGAAGCCACTCTGCAGCCACCCCAGCCGGGCCAGGCGTCCCAGTCACACTACGGGACAGCCTGCGGCACCATTAGAGGCAGCAGTGTGCAGAGTCGGGAGCCAGCCAGCAGATGCCGGCTCAGCCCTCGTCATGACCTGGCCTCTCGGGATGACCCCTCCACCCCAACATCCTTAACTTCATCACATCTCTTGCCATATAAGGGAATGTTCCCCCTTTTGCCATAGAAGGTACCATTCACAGGCCCTGGGAACTGGGATGTGAACATCGTTGGGGCCCATGACTCGGCCTGCACGGTCACCAAGGCTATGTCAGCAGCATCCCCTCTGCACCACCAGGCTTCCTGTGTTCTCAGTCCTGAAATGCAGCAGCCTCCCATCACGTGCCCCATCAGGAAGTCAATCTGGCCAATGGGACAGTCCCCCATCGTCTTAGTTCTTACTCTTCTGTTCGGCCATCTGCCTGCCCTGCTCGGCTCATCTGCCTGAAGAGGAATCTGAATGCTGTGCGAGTTCCTGCTGCCTGACCCTCATTTATTTAGAAAATCACAGAAGTAGTCAGAGAAAGGAAGGCACAGGCCAGGTGAACTCCCAGGAGGGAGAGCACGCTGGGTCCTCATCCTAAGGCTTTAAGGGTGCAGAGTGTAGGGGAGGTCCCAGGGGAAGGTCTCGATAGAATACTCAGCAGCTTCCCAGATGGGTCCTTCAGGGTCAGGGTCTCCACTGATTGATTGGTCAACACCAGGGCACGGGGTCAGTATCCAATGCATCTGGTTCTGAGGTCAGCCGTGGAGTTGACTGTCTGGTGTTTGCTTCTTTTCTGGGCCTGGAGCTGAAACACAACTAAGGCCTAGATGTTAGCCTAGGTCAGGGGTCTACACCGCATCACCAGTGATAAGCCGGGGAAGAAAGCCAACCTGGGGGCTAGGTCCCACCCTACAACTGTCTGTTGCTAGGCACCCGGGGCTTTCCGCCCTGGTGACCTTCTGTACCTGGCCCATCGTCCTCGCTCTGCTCTTGTCTGTCTAGCTGCCTCCCGCAGCTCTCCCCATCCCGACCTCTTGGGCTGGCATGGAGCCCACAAGACTCAGCTTCCCCTGCCTCCCCGGGCTGACTTCCCCAGGCACCTCACACTCCAGCCAGACTGACCTCCTCGCTCTCTGTTGCCTCCAGACAACCAAACCCAGAGGCACATGGGGGCAGAGTTTCAGAACCACAGGAAAACCACCCACCTCAGGTCTAGAGATAAGGAGCGCAGCTGCAGGATAAAGCTGGTCAACGCCCCAGACTTCCTGTGGGGTGGCCGAGGAGCCCACAGATGACACATTCCAGCGAGGCATCTGGTCAACCCCATTCATGTCATTCCTGTGCACCTGGTGCCTCCACGTGAACCAGGGCCCCTGCGTTCATGAGACTCACGGGCCTAGCACAGCCGTGGGCATGGGAATGGTCTGGGAGCAGCGACAGATGGCAATGGCAGGGTCAGAAAAATGCTCTTACTAACCTCAAAGGGTTGTGACCAGGGCTGTTCAAGAAAAAATGGGATGGATGTGCCCGGATGGGATATCTGAGGGGCCCCCCCCTAAGCCCCCAGGACTCAGGCCTAAGGGAGGGAATGGGGAGCAGAGTTGGCCACCCCCAAATATGCCTCTTTGGAAAATCGATTCTTTCAAGCGGTTCTTTTCAAGGGCCAGGAGGCTCAGGAAGAACCTTTGACCACCCCCCTAACTGCCTGAAGGAATGTGGATGGAAGGCGGGAGCTATCACGGTAGATACTATAACTGCAGTCCCACCTGAACTAGGTGTGGCAGGCTGGGGAGAGCCTCGACCGGCCCATTTGAGCAAAGTCCTCTCTGGAGCCCATTGTCTCCACAAGGCCCAGCAAACATTTTTCACTAAACATTAACCCTCTTCGCCTCCCTGTAAACTGCCTCACTTCCTTCTCCTTGGTCCAGAATGGCACGGAGACCTCCGTCTGCCTTTGGGACATCCACCGTCTTTGTAATTCGTCATGCTCATGTGAATTCCCAGTGCATAGGTATTGCATTGCTTTTTTTCCCCCAGTTAATCCACTGTATGTTATTTTAATTACTCGACCAGCCATTAGAACCAAGAGGAGAAGAGGGGTTACTCCTCCCCCACAGGAGCATGAGCCACGACAGGCAGGTGTTTGGTGCAGAGACTGGGCTCTGGGGTCTTACTGCCTGGGCCTGAACCCGCTGTGTGGCCTTGGGCAAGTCACTGACCCTCTCCAATCCTCAACCTTGTCGTTTGCAACGCGGTCCTATTCATTGTCCTTGCCTCCTGGATTTGTGGTGAGCGTCACATGAATTAATGTTCATAGAATGTTTCGCACGCAGCCTGTGCATGCAGCACGGGCCCAATAAATCACTGCTATCAGGACCATCAATCAGGGCGCTCTCTCGTGCCCCTCAGGTCCTTTGGGGACGGAGAGCATGAACATGGCCTGCCCTTGTGCAGGGAAACTAAAGGCGGGGCGAGGACCTGTGCCAGAACCCAGCAGTCAGCGCCTCCTTTAACATCCGGGTGGCAACCCTTTCCTCTGCCTTTGGATCCGGAAGTGAGGCTCCCGGCCCTCCGCCTGGCATGCGAAGGTTTTTCCTGGGGGTCCCTCAGCCCAACCCCCAGAGAGACGCCTCCCCGCTCTCAGGGAGAACACTGCTGGCCGCCCTGAGCCCAGGAGGATTCACGTGAAGCAAACAACGGTGCGGTGAGGGAGCTCTTAAGAGACTGAAAGTGGTTCGAGTAGAGGGGACACTAGAGCTGGAGGGGCGAGATTGAGCCGGAAACCCCCAAAGAGAAAGGCCTGGGACATACGAGATTGTTTGTCCTGAGGTTTTCACTCTTGCCTGCATTTGGTCGAGAAGCAGGTCCCCTCGCGGCTCCGCACCGCGGGGACACCGAGAGCAGCCATGTCCCTGTGCCATTGTGAGGACCAAATGGGTTGACACCCCGAAACCTTCTGCACAGTGCCCAGCACAAACCCAGCGGCCAATCGATGTTGGCAGTTATCTTTGGTGCCGGCGGCCCAGGTCCAGACCTCTGCTCTGGTGCCCACCGCGTGCACCTACCTGATGGCCCTCATGCAGCTTCCACACGAGTCCGAAGCTGAGTCTAAAAGCACCATCCCGCCTTCCACCACCACCAGGCTCCTCCTCCAGCACCACTGAGGGCTCCACAAAATACACTGCCTACGGGTCTTTAATTCCGGGCTCCTGGCACGGGGCACGGGGCACAGGGCAGGAGGGCAGGACGTCTTTGGGACTCGTGGGTTGGGTTTGGTTTTGCAATTTGTTTTCACGTCACATTCCTGTGGGATAGTGTCAAGCCAGCCATCGCCACTTCTTAGCTGCGTGACCGGAAGCAAGCAGCATCACCTCTCTGAACCTCTCTGTAGAGCATCGTCAGCTGTGCAATGGGAATGGCACCTATGCACTGGGCTGTGTCTTAGTCCACTCGGGCTGTTATAACAAAATACCGCAGACTAAGTGGCTTATAAGCAACAGAACTTTATCCCTCGCAGCGTGGAGGCTGGGAGCTCCAGGGTCAAGGTGCTGGTGATTCAGTGTTTGGCGAGAGCTCGTTTCCAAGGCAGCCCTGTGTTTGCTGTAGCTGCAACCTCGTGTGGCAGAGGGGATGGGAACTCCCTCCGCTCTGTTTTATAAGAGCACCAATCCCAACCACGGGGACTCTGCCCTCCTGCCCTCAGCACCTCCCAAAGGCCCCACCTTCTAATACCATCACTTGGGGGGTTAGGATGTCAATGTATAAAATGGAGGGACACACGCATTTGGACCACAGCAAGCTGCTGCAAAGGATTGTGGGAACCTCTACCCGCCGAGGTTCTTTCAGCTGCTCTGATGAGACATATTAGCAAGAGAAAAGTAACCACATGTGACTGCGTACATATGTATGGGACCCCACATACCTGACAGGCTCAGGGGCAGAAAGGGGAAACGAGGTGTCTATGGCATTCGAGCTAAGGATGATGTAAGGGGAGGATGATAACGATAAGAAGAACAGATGTGCAGTAATTTGTAGTTTGCCCTACCATAGAGACAGTTCAAAAGGTTATCTCTGACCATCTCTTATTATGGGCAAGGCTCAATTCAAACTATCCTAGGTAGTCAAGGGACAGGGCAGAAGTTTCTCTTGAGGCCACAGGGTTTAGGTTGCCTTTAGCTCAAAACAACCCACATGCCACAGAGGCACACCTTGGGGTGACCTGTTCTGACCCCCACAGGATCCATGAGACCCCTGGGCACAGGTCCAAGCATGGCATCTGGTATTGGGATAAACTCTAGGAAATATGCATTTTTTTACATTAATAATGGCCCTGGGATGTCGGCATGATGGTTTTCATTATTAGAGGTGAGGAGACCAAACTCAGGAGATGTTGAACCATTTACTTGAAATCACACAACTGGGCCCTGGTCAGTGTGGCTGAGTTGGTTGGGCATCGTCCCATGCACCAAGGGGGCGCAGGTTTGATTCCCATCAGGGCACATAACCCAGGTTCAATCCCCAGTAGTGGGCGGGCAGGAGGCAGCCGATTGATGTTTCCCTCTTAGATGTTTTGCTCTCTCTCCCTTCCTCCCTCTCTAAAAATGAATTTAAAAAAAACTTTTATAAACATAAATAAATAAATAAAAATGAAAAAAAATCACACAACTGGTCTCAACCCAAAATTCTCGCCTCCTGGCCCAACACGCCTTCTCTGTTGCCTGAAATGTCCCGGTCATTTCCCCAGAAGTTGCTTCGATTCTGGACCGTGGTCGGACAGCCTCTCTCCCCGCAGGAGTTTGCCGTGATGAAGACCCAGTGCCTCTGAGTGTGTTTTCAGTTCATGTCTGAGGCCTCCTTTCTCCCTTCACTCTTCTTTGAAAATGGCTTCCTGCCACTTTGCACAGAAAACAAAACAAAGCCGTTGTCTCTCGCAGGCTGCCGAAACACGCACAGGCCGGGCCTGGAAAGGCTGTTTTGCCCTCCCAGGAGCTCACAGCTGTCAGTTGTAAATTACCGTTCTCCACACTCCTTTCCATCAGGATTAATCAAGTGCTAAGCGTCCCCGAGCGTCTGTATTTAATCCCCAAGCAAGTGAACAACGTTCCACCTTACGGGGAGGTGTGGTGGGGAAGGCATAGATGTCACCAGCGTCATTTCCATGGGAGGAACGACTGGGAGGAGCGTTTTGGGGCTGGTGGCCTCCTTTGGAAACGGATGTCCAAGGACAGGGAGCACCCTTCCCCCCACCCCCAACTCAAAGGTGCACAGCACGTTCCTCCCTTCTCCCCTGAGCGAGGCATCTATGACTCAGGAACATATTAGCGTAACACGTAGCAGCTGAAACAGCGAGAGTTTATCATCTCACTGTTCCCGCGGGTCGGGAGCCCCGGCCACGCTTCACTGGGTGTTCTGGTTCAGGGTCTCTTCCAGGCGGCCGTCAGGGTGCCAGCCTGGGCCACAGGTTCAGCCAAAGCTCCAACTCCAAGTTCATCCCCGTGGCTAGGGCAGGCCTCGGGTCCTGGGCACCAGTTGGCCAGAGGCCTCCCTTAGTTTCTTGCCACTGGCCCTCCCCACAGGGCAGCTCACAGCATTGCAGACCATCCAAACAAGAAAGAGAAAGGGCGCCTGGCCGGTGTGGCTCAGTGGTTGAACGTCATGGACTCAGGAACCAAGAGGTCACTGGTTGGATTCTTGGTCAGGGCACATGCCCGGGTTGCATGGGCTCAATCCCCAGTAGGGGGCATGCAAGAGGCAGCCTATCCATAGTGTTTCTCTCTCATAGATGTTCCTCTCTATATATCCCTCTCCTTTCTTCTCTCTCTAAAAGGCAATAAAAACATATTTAAAAAAAAAATAAGAGAAAGAGAAAGGGCCAGAAATAACGGAACCTAAACTCAAAGGTTCATCCATCCATCACATTTGCCATATTCTGTTCATGAGATGCAAACCGTGAGGTTCAGCCACACTCAAGTGGAGGCAATTGCACAGGGAGAAGACAAGAGGCAGCGATCACTGGA